CCATCCATCCATCCATCCATCCATCCATCCATCCATCCATCCATCCAGTCATCCACTAACTAACAACCTTACTTACTTTACTGTTATTCTTTTTGTTTATTTTAACATCATCAACCGTTCTCATTCATACACATACAATATTTATTGTTGCCGTTCGTTGACTGCTGAATAACTCAGCAGCAGCAGCCAATCGCTAACACAAAACTTTTCCTCAACGTTTTTCCATCAAAAACTCTCCATTGGCATCTCGTGCTCACTTCACTTCACTTCACTTCAAGCTTAACAAACAATATCTCCCGTTCCATTCAATCCCTCCTTCAATTCTTATTGTGCGTGTTGCATCGATGCGATAATCGACTTCTTGCGAAAGCCATCCAATTTGACGCTGATTTTCATTTTTAGCGAAATTAAAAATTAATGTGTATGGATTTCAACAATTTCACCATCGATCATTTCCTGAGGAATAATGATAAGAATTAGTATTATCCAAAATTCATTGTATCCGTTAGTGGAACAATGCTTCGATTAGTCTTATCAAATGTTTCAAAAACAAAAATGATAAATCAATTTACAATATTCGAGTTAACCAATGCAATTTTCACTGTTGAATAGTCATTTGGTGTCAGTAATGAGTGATCTTTATTTCGTGTAATCATTTGTTGAAGTTATCATTGCTATTGTTTTTACATCGCAACGAAATCTTACCATTTATTCAGTTTGTTGTTTTCATCTTAGAATAGCGTATTGTTCACAAAATATTACGATGAAATTGGTTGCCGACAACGATTCAATGCTGTAAATTCGATTGATTCATTAAATTTGATTCATTTGTGCAGAGAATGGGGGACGAATCGTCGGAGGATGTGATGACTGATGCGGACTTTGAGAAGGCATTAGATGCACTTCGAGAACAGGAACCGACTGGAGAAGTGGGCGAACTGTTGAGTGAGTCAATCTGTTATTTGGACATTGTTAATTGCTCACTTAAATTTGCTCAGTGACTGCATACAAAATCAATTGTTTACTAGAGAATACCTTGTAATAACTTCATTGGAAAATATCATGAGATTGCTCAAATTATTTCACATTGCTGAGTCCATTTACGGTATCATCAATTCTTCCGGAAACCAATCAGAACCTTACGTATATCTTTACGATCACATGAATGCAACCAATTTTGGCGAAGGAAAGCGCCGAAAATCAACGAACTAAGCTGAAAGGCAGTGCTTTTCAGAGATGATGAATGAAAATCGCATGATCAGTTGGGAGGAAGCAGAGCAAATTTTGGGTGGCTCAAGCTATAATGAACCCGTGAAGTCGTCTCTGCCCGAACAAACCCGACCTTCTGAACCCGATAATGATACCGATGTGGACGTCTCCATTCAGAGATTAACACAGGATGATCCGGAACTGAAAGAAATCAACCTCAACAACATGAAAGTGAGTCTCTTTTAAATAATTTGGATAATCCGGTTATTTCGATGTTTTCTAACAAAATTCTAATATTCGTCCTTCTGCAAATTAGTTCTGGAATCGAAAATTGATTTTAAGATGTACTCAAACGCAACAATTCAATTTAATGCAGAAAATAGCATTTCATTGCAATTATCAATTGGACGACTTTCAAGCAGCAGCAGACAGAAACAATAAAAAACATATGGTAAAGCAAGACTTGCGATGACGATACCACGGAATGATCACAAATCACTAGTGGATTGATCAATTTAGCGATGATCATTTCAGCGAACGCCCATACCACAAGTGAAGAGGTTAATATCAGCGATACGCGACAACACACACCTGGAGAAACTTGCACTAGCCAATATGGGTTTATACGATTCAAATGTTGAGGTAACATCCTTCCATTGCAGCATTCCTTCGCTCGCTCGATTTCACGGCTATTCCAGTTCCGTGGCACTTTTGTTCATCCCAGCTTTGTTCATTCCTATTTTTGACCCTCAGTGGCTTTGAGACTTCAGATTTGAGGAGTGCTTGAACAGCTGCTACAGCAGAAGCCGCACAAAATCATGTTAATATGGACTGTGAAAAGTTTACGTGCATGTGTTGAATTTAATTGAATGCGAGAAATTTTTTGAGATAACAAGAAGAAAATGGTCAAGCTGAATAATTTTTAAGATATTCATTTGTGCGATTGCTACTTTGTCACGATTGATAAGTTGTCAGTGAAACTCAGGATGCGTTAACGAGTATCATTGCAGCCTTTGATCGATGTTGTTGAGAATAATGAAACGTTGAAGTCGATAAATTTAGAGACAAATTATCTCAGCGGTGATTTCTTTTCAAAATTATTCAAAGCTGCCTTAAAGAATCAAACTCTCGAAGAGGTAAAGGCCGTCAATCAGGTTTGTGAATTCGTCAACAACACAACATCATTTCCATTGCATTTGAAACGTTCTCTGCAAAATTCCATCAAAACATTAATACAATCAAAATATTTCCATTGCACAGAGTCCACAAAAATTCAGATCAGTGTAAACGAACCTCTAAAAAATCACTCTTCTTTGAATGAGTATTGTTGTTGCAAGATCCAATATCATAGCAGAAATTTATTCAGCCGATACTTTTGATTGTCCGTCATCTGCTTCAAATCATGAACTCGATTTCGTTCTCTCGAATCACCGGTGCTTCACAATCCTATCATGTTTACACTGTGTAGTACACTTGCAGGGAGTAACATTCTCAACAACATCCGAAAAGGAGATAATCGATGCGATTTTTGAGAATCGTGGCATTATAAAAGTATCTATAAATCTGCGTTTACCTGAAGGAAGGCATAAAATCGAGAATGCAATGCTCAGAAACGGTGAAATAAGTGAGTTGTGATCATTATTTGATGAGTCCTTGTTCACCATATCATTGAAAACACTCGAAATCCTCGCTGATTATACTCAAAATCAGTTTCTGCTGCTTTCAATCTGTCATTTTTTAGCTCATGAACTCGGAAAACATTCGGCTGTCATCTGAAAAGTTCTGTGCAAAATTCCATCAAAACAATGATGCAATCAAAATATTTCTATTGTATAATTCAAATTTTCAGAACGTGTCCTGCGCCGGCAAGCAGCCCAGGCGGCCAAAGCAGCCGCCGAAGAAGAGGCAAAAAAAGCCGAATCAGCCCCAAAGCCGACGACAGCCACCGGGAAGAAAACCGATGAGGTAACCAAACCCAAGAAAGCACTTAACAAGACTGCAAGCCCCACAACTCCAGCTAAAACCACTGCAGCTAAACCTGCACCATCTAAGCCTGCAACTGCACCAAAAACTTCACTCACTAAAACTCCAGCCTCTGATGCTAGCAGCACAGATACGAGCAAGAAGGTGCCACCTAAGACTGCACCTAAAAACACCACCGCCAAAGGCACTGCTGCATCAAGCACAAAAACACCACCGCTTTCTAAGAGCACCGCACTTGAAGGAACGCCGAGCAGTGGTCAGAAACCAGCTGCTGGTACCACCAAAAAATTGGCTACAGCCAAACCCACCGATGCGGCCGGAACAACTGAAAAGGTCTGATCAGTGTGACAAAAAAACAGTCGA